TCCCTACAGGGCTTCTCTGTGGTGAAATCAGAAAAGCCTATGTGGAGTTTGTGAACGTGAGCAAGTGTCCTCTCACCTCCCTGAAGGTTGTGTCCAAGCACCCAGAATTTTTTACCTTTGGTGGAAATACTGCTGTTCTGACACCACTGAGTCCTTCAGCCTCTGAAAACTGTAGTGCTTACAAGACTGTTGTGACCGATCCTACCTCTGTGCGTACGGCACTGCTCTCTTCAGCCTCTTCTGTAGACTTTGGGGTTGGCACAGGAGGACAGCCTGAGGTGATACAAGTCCCACTGCCTGATGCTGTTCTTCTTCCTGGGGCCTCAGTGCAGCTGCCAATGTGGTTACGGGGACCAGATGAAGAAGGTGTTCATGAAATTAACTTTTTGTTTTACTATGAAAGTATTAAAAGACACTCAAAGATGTGGTAAGTTTATCTATTTGTCTGTCATACTTACTAGACACATTGTGTGCATAAATGTAAGTCTTGCTGAATGTCTCAGTGGCTGTGATGTAAAAGTGGCCAGCTATTTGCTGTTTTAAGCAATAATGTTTTTCTACTGTATGATTTAGTTGCCATATGAAATAGCTTACCCTGCTTCCATCAAAGTGGCAATTATGAGTTTAATAGGAGTGTTACTGGAATGCTGTTAATACAAGCTGTTCATTTTTAGTTTCTCTGGAAGCACAAGGGGGGGAAAAAATCCTTAAATTTGTTTCTGGATGTTATAAAACAAAGTCTAGTCTCATTTGAACAAAGGATTTTGTTTGTAGTTAAAATGTGGTTAGTAATTGTATCATGATGGAAGTTATCCTTTTTTGGAGGAGTTAAATACCAAGCTTGACTTGCATGCTGTTGTGTAGTTCCTTTTTGGACCATCATAGACAGTTGAGTTTGACACCACAAGCGAAGAAGTGCTTCTTTGAACTTCACTTGAAAGGTAGAAGATTGACTTTGTATGCCACTTATTCCCAAGTCCCATCCATATTTGAGGCTAGGAAGGCTCAGGAGATGACTTTTTTTTTGGGAAACCTGTTCTTCAAAGGTTCTGGGGTGAATTACTGTTCAGCAGTAATGAAAACACCCCTGTATTATCCACACAAATCCAAATCATAGTCCTGTGCCAGCTACTGTGAAGAAAATGAACTTTAGCAGCCCAAACCAGCACTCCCCATCTCTGTACTTGTCATATTTGAGATGATGGTGGGCAGCAGGGGTACTTCAGATAGCCTCTAGTCACATGGACTGACTGTCTGCTTGTGGCTGGAGCTTGTTTTCTAGGCTGATTCTGAGAAAAACCAAGTTCATGTGCTGTGAGACTGCTCTGTGATGTAAATCAAAGCACAGCAAGTTGAAGATGGTCAAGAGAAGTTGGATCAGCAGCGTTCTTGAAATCAAACTAAAATTTGTGCAAATGCACCCTTTGTTTAGATTTTTCTGTAGCTTCTGAAATGCCAAAGTTAACTTTTTGTTTGGCTTTAAGTTAGTCTGTAGGAAAAGTGAATTTGTCCCCCTACAATGTAGTTATTTTTCTTCCTTGTTTTCTTTTTTAAATAACAGAACTTATTTCTCTTCTGAGTTCATGGTGCTCATTAAGTGAGGTGTTTTGGAGATAGTTGTTGGGGCATATATCTATTCCCAACTGTATTGAAGTTTCCAGGGGAACCTAAGTAATGTGATCCTGTTCCTAGACTGAGCATAGCTTTTAGATTTTCAAAACAATTATTTAACTTGTGCCATTGTAATGACATCTGCGTATTTGAAGATTAACTGCAAAAACTGTTAAGTTTATTCTATTTTTTGTGATGTTATCTGAAGTAGAGTTTAGGAAACCACCTGAAACAAATTTGAGACTATTTCCTCTCCCAAAACAAGTATCACATGATGTTTCAAAGTATTTAGTAGGTAATCCATGTCAAATTTGTACATGCTTCTGGTATTTCCAAGTGGAAGTTATGGTAACACAGAGCTGCTGTGTGGGAAGAACAGTGTTGTGATGGTGCCCAAGAACAGAAGCTTGCTCATCTTTAAAAACCAGGAAGAGAACTTTACCAAAGGACTTGCTGGCCTGGAGGTTGAGGTGTCCCTGGGAAAAGACAAAGTAGCAATGGTTCTGGAAGTAAACATTAAAGATCAGGGGAGTTTGTTGAATGCAGTGGTATTCTGTCTAAATGCTATTTGCTAACTGTTTATGCAGGAGATATAACTAACTAGTGGGGCTTTTATGGTTTGCTTACTTAAAAATCCTGTTTTCCAAAGCAATGGTGGCATTGTATAGCTTAATAGATACCCCTGTGCCAATAGGTGCCCCTTTTCTTCCACTGTGCCAGTTGTCTTACATCTGAAATACTTCTGATGGATTTTTCATCATGGTAACATGGACTTTTTTAAGCTAAGAGTCTGTTTCAACAGCACTTACCATGCAGCATGACTGTTAAAAATAAGGTAATTTTGGTAAGAAATTAAAAAGAAAAGTCTCTTTCATGGTTCAAGGGTATCAGTTGTCTAATGGCCTTAATATTAATGCCAAACCTAAGTTAAATTTCTGGCTGCCAGGATCTGGAGAGCAGCCCTGGTGGTTCAGAATGTCTTTTTTTCTCCCCCCTTTCCCAGCCACAGAGTCCTGAGGCACACTGCAGTTATTTGCACCAGCAGGTCCCTGCATGTTCGAGCCACTGTCTGCAGGAGTAATGCACTTGGAGATGAAGAAGGCAGAGGGGACAACATGTTGGTGTTTGTGGATGTAGAAAATATCAATACTGTGAGTTCTTGTTTTGGGTAGTAACACTGTTCTGAAGCTCAGATGTGTAAGCATCACCAGCAGAACCAGGACTTAAGTAAAAGATTTTGTACAACTACTTTGCAAACACTAAGTAAAT